GGGGTCCTCTGGCAGGGTTGAAAGAGGGGTGGACAGGAAAATCAAATCCATCATTGATATTTCCCAACCTTCATTAATGCAGAAAATTTTGGCCAGGCTGGGAGAGCTAGTTTTGGGAAAACCTAGTTTAAAACCCCCAAGCTAAAAATGAAGCAACATTATGCCCAAGGGGTGCTGCCCTCCGTTCTTTTAAAAGCAGGAGATAAGGTGATGGTTTGGGAAATTAGTACCAGGCATGCTTAAAACCAGGTTTGATATTTCCCCGGGAAAGTTGTGAAAAAAGCTTAGCGAGTAAATTTTTTTGGTACGTACGCCGGGGAAAAAAGAAATTTAATCATGTGTACCATGTTAACCACCCTTTAAGACAAAAAAAACGCGGGGCCCCCTACCAAATAAATCTATTTTTCCCTAGGACAGAGGAGAAAACGCCCCAGCCCTCCCTTGACATTTAAAAGGTATAGAGGTGCGTTTAAAAAATTTCTGTAAACTCTCCCAGCCCACAAGACGTTTTTTTTTAGTAACCTTGGGATTGAAAAAGCGGGTGATATTAAAAAAATGTTTTTTGCTTTTCCCCTGAATTGTTTTCAGGGGAGTTCCCTAAACGTTGAAACTCTGGGTGTACATGACTTTTTGATGTACAGGGGGCATCCCCCTTTTAACAATCACCATATGGGATGAGTCCCCCAAACCCATAAAGCATTGAGGGGAAGGGGGTTGATTTTCTGTTGTTTTCAGGGAAATTTAAATTGAGCGCAGTAAAATTTCCAGGGGGCTCCCCCTGTATTTTAGTCCCTTAAACCTGACGGTAGTTTCGGGATTTTGAAATGATTACGGAAAAGTAAACCTCTGTCACCTTCCCGATGGTTATCTCTCCTCCGCTTTGACGACCTTATTGACCGGTGTAAGAAAACCCAATTTGAAAAAGTTTAGATTCTTACACGAGGCTATTTTTCAAGCCCCCGTTTTTACTGAACTTTGCTAAAGAAATATCTGCTTTTACTTTTTAAGATAAATTTTTTTAAATACCTGTCACCCCCTTCGGCCTATGTAACGCGGCTTTTCATTCCAGCGTATAATGAACGAGTTGCCCCAAAAAAATTAAAAAGGAGTAGAAGCCTACCTTAAACGACTTGGGTGGTGACGGGTGGGGTGGGAACAGCACTTGACGCATCTCAGAGCATTGTTCGAGAAAATGGCGCCCCTACAACTTTCACGTTAACTTAGGGTAAATGGGAGGTTTTTTTAAGCCAAGATTTTCCCATTAGGCTTTTTTATCGGCCAAGGTGAGGTTGCTCCTATTGAGGTAAAAGGGTTTGTTTCAATTTCTGAAATTTTCCCGTCCACAGGGTAGGGAAGGGGGGTTTCCCGAGGGTTCCTGGGTATGGCAGGATATTAAATTTCAGGTTCTGTCCAATTTTTTCGATTGCAGCTCCCTTTTACTGAGCTTATAGTAGCCCAAATTTTAGTTTTAACTTTGGGCTAGAGATTGTTCAGACTCGTTTTAAAAGTTTAGGGGAAACGCTTTTCTATCCCCCCTGCTCCTTGTTGGAAAGTCCTAATTTCAAAAACTTCCCTTCTTTTTTCTTTTAGATGCGAGTGGTTTGGGATGGGGCTCTTTTGCTCCAAAAGTCAAAAATTTCCCCTGACTTTTTCCAAACCTATAAGGTTTTTATTTATCTAAGGGTTAAAAGACCAAAGAGAAAAATTATGCCCCCTATTTAGAAAAAAAGGCCCCTACTCTTTTGGTGGCCCCTTTGGAAATTTTGACGTGTAATTTTTTGGGGGAAATTTCCCCATTTAAAAAATTAAAAATTTTTTCAGAACCCCCAATCCACCTTTACTTTTTATTAACCTATAAAAGTAAAAATGCTAGGGTCATGAGGTGGGCCCTCAGAATTCCCCTTTTCTATTAGTATAAAACACATAGGTGGTCATTGTAAAGTAATTGCCCCACGCTCCGGCCCGTCCTCCCTTAAAAAATTTTCAGTTACATTAAATTTAAGTAATTTTAATGCCCCAAAAAACCTTTTTTTACTTGCTATGTCAAATTAAAAAAGTAAAGTAAAACCCCCCGCCCATATTAACTATGTTTACTCATGTCATGTCTAATTATAAAATAATTTTTAAATTCACGGGAGTGATTTTTGGTGGGAGGAACAAAAAGCGGGGTTTTATGGTGGGTAGTGTCGTTTTGGGGGGATGTTATGCTTGGGGGGAACACTGTCCTGGGCCCCCAGACCCCCCACCCCACCTTCAACACCTTTAAAACGTTCTAAAACCCGTGCCAAAACTACATAGCATTCCCCCAACCACTACTTAAGAGTGGGAATGCAGTCTCCTCCCCTTGAAACGAGCCCCCAAAGTGCCCTGCTTGTCTACGTTTCCTGTCTCCCACACTGATTAAAAACGTTGGGTTTTGCAGGGGATAAATAAAAATTATGCCCCCATTTTAGGGGGGTTTTTTTATTGTTTTAATGCTGTGGGAAAATTTTAAAAAGGTGTTGGCACAAGAGTGACTCTGATTAATTTTAATATTTTTGTTATTAAAGTATCATGAGTAATCAGTTAAAAAGGGGAAAGACATTTTAAAGCAATCCTAGTGCGACCGTTGTTGTTGGGGGGGTGTTGCCAAAAAACCCGGGAAAGGGGTTTTCAATGTAATTTTTATATATATTTTATAATTATTGCCCTTTTCATATAATTTTATTTTTTGCTTAACTTGTGATAATTAAACTAAACGTAAAGTAATTTCTTTATATTTTATTTTACTTTTGTTATGTTAGGTGGATTTACAAATTTTATGCCCCAGGGTTTAAGTCTTGGGGTTTTCTAACCCCACTGTAATTAAACGCTTGTGGCTCGTTTGAACTGCCGGCTTCTGTTTCTGAGCTGCAGCTGTCCCCGGGGCTTTCACGTGATCGAGGGGGGTGTCCCCACCCCGCCTGAAGTATTCATCTGGTCTAGACTTTTTTGGTTTGGTTTTTGGGCAGATTTTTCTGTCCAAATTTTTCTTGGTTTGTTCTGTTGGGAAAACTGTTTTACGAACTTGTAAAAGGGGCGTAGTGATTTTCGGGCATTGTACTGAGGTTGTGGTTGCAAAAGGGCACTCTGAACAACTCAAGTCCCGAGCTGGGAAACTTCGACCTAAAATTGTTCTGGTAACTGTGGTATTAAAACAGTCGGGGATTTTCTTATGGGTGAAACTTTGATTCAGTAGTATGGGGGGTTTTGTGACCCCTTTTGGTTTAGGTCTGTGATGGTCCTTTTCTTTGTTTTTTATATTATCTCCTTGTTCCCGATTCTTTTTCCAGTTGCCCTTTTTATATTGCCATTAGCAATTTTTTTTATTTTCAAGCAGACCCGTTCTGATTGCCAGTTGGTCAAGAAGTTAGGTTTTTTGAGGACTTTGGCAGTCACTTGTTTAAATCTAGTCTAGTTCGTGAGGCCCGCAAAATACTTAGAGCACTTACCCATAACACAAACAAAATTTTACAAAAATTTGTAAATTTTTTTAAAAAGTTAAGGGACCAGACGGTACTTTAAGTTATTTAAAAATGATATGTGTTTCCCGGGAAAATAATACTGTACACCCAGAGAAGTTTTTATATTATTTTTTAATTTTCTGTGAATAATTTTTAAATTTTAAATTGAAAATACGCCTAGACAACTTAATGAAATAATAAATTTGTTTTAAAATTTTTAAATTTTCTTTGTTAGTACCTACCATTTTTTAAAACCCGAAGGACTAATTTAATTTATAATGAATTTTAATGGAAAATTGGACAAGAATTTCTGACTCTTGTTATGAAAAAACCCTGTAACAGGTGGTGCTAAAGGGGGTCCTTTCTAGTATTCATGGAGGGTCTCTAAAATTTTTTAAAACGGTTTTTTGTAACATCCGGAAAATCTTTTTCCCTTTAGTGAGGTTTTCAAACTTTTGGCCCCCAAATTGACTTACTCTGTCTACGGTCTTCTATACCCTTCCCGATCTTCATTTACTTTGGGATTTGGGGGGGTTAAGCTCAAAAGCCAGTTGCTGGACCAAAACTTTTAACCCGTCCCCGGTCTCTTTGTGGGGCCCCGCCTGATCCTTTACCATTTGATTTTTCCTCTTAACTTAAAATCATCCCGGGAAAAAAAGGGCACTTCCGAGTTTTTTCCCTTCCGTTATTCATTCACATATAACAAAAACAAACACAGGTCCCCAGGACTGGGGGCCCCTGTGGGAACCCCCCTTGTCGCCCTGCGCCCCCTCTGACACCTATTATGTAACCCGACTCTTTTTTTCCTCCCTGTCAGGATTCTCTGATCCATTGCAGTGGGGTTTCTGTCATGAAAAGCCCGACCTCTAGCTTTTTGCAGTAACCCTTGTGAGGAACTGTGTCGAAGGCCCTTTTTTCAGCTCAAGAAAATGCGTCTACCCCTCCCTTTTCCTTGTCTTTCTTCTGTCACCTTGTCATAAAACTCCAGTAGGTGGTGTGTGGTTTTTGTGTGTGTGTGTTTTGTGTGGGGTTTTGGGGTGTCCCGCCCAATAGGTAAAACTTGTGATTTTGGCTTAAAAAGCAACGCTCTCGTTGCCAAATAAGGCAAGTGAAAATGTATGTATGCAATAATTTTGCAAAAATCAATCTGAACCTAATGAAAAAATATATTTCATTGTGCTTGTTTTATTATTAAACTATTGTAAACTTATCTAAAATATGTTTAGTTGGATTAAGCTAAATTAAATGGCGCTTGTTATAATTAGGTTAGGTAAGTTTTCTACGGGTTCTTTTGGTTCAAAATTATTAATTTTACATTAACATAAACGAAGAAAATATACCTTTAAGAGGAAATTTTAGAAAGGACAATTTTAGTGAGTTCTAACTGACCAATTTCACCTATTCGGAACGACATATATGTATGTATAAATATTAGCTTTCAATTATCTTTATCTTGTTTGCAAACAATGTACAATGTATAGTTGTATAAAACTCAACTAGTGTTTGTCTTTGTTTCAGAACTTGTCAACCTGACGATGGTTCTACTTAGTTACCTGCTTGTATGTACCTCATTCCAGGTGAGTCCAACTGAGTACTCAGGAAACAGACTCACTTCATTCTGACAATAATGGTGCCAGGGGAATTACACTAGACATTACAATATTTTTCCACCCTAAGAAATACACACTTTTGAATATCTAATCTGTTGATTTTAAATTTTTTTTTATATTTTATTTAAAACTCAGGTACAAAAATATATGGGTACATAATCAATATGTAACAAGATACAGGCAGTGAACAATAATCAACTGTTTACCTGGAGTTTACCTGGAGAGAGTTTCGGGGGTCAACGCCCCCGCGGCCCGGTCTGTGACCAGGCCTCCTGGTGGATCAGCGCCTGATCAACCAGGCTGTTGCTGCTGGCTGCACGCAAACCAACGTACGAGCCACAGCCCGGCTGATCAGGAACTGACTTTAGGTGCTTGTCCAGTGCCAGCTTGAAGACTGCCAGGGGTCTGTTGGTAATCCCCCTTATGTGTGCTGGGAGGCAGTTGAACAGTCTCGGGCCCCTGACACTTATTGTATGGTCTCTTAACGTGCTAGTGACACCCCTGCTTTTCATTGGGGGGATGGTGCATCGTCTGCCAAGTCTTTTGCTTTCGTAGTGAGTGATTTTCGTGTGCAAGTTCGGTACTAGTCCCTCTAGGATTTTCCAGGTGTATATAATCATGTATCTCTCCCGCCTGCGTTCCAGGGAATACAGGTTTAGAAACCTCAAGCGCTCCCAGTAATTGAGGTGTTTTATCTCCGTGACTACACAGTACTGAAGAAACACATATATAATGACAGAACTGGCTGCTGCACTCAAATCAAACACCGCTTGTACGTACTGTGCTTCACATGGAAAGGTGGTCATATATACATATATATACACACATATACATATATACATATATTATATATATATATATATATATATATATATATATTATATATATATTATATATATATATACATATATATACAACCCACCCAGTAAAGCTTACACTCCCCCCCCCATGAAAACGTGCCACTTTCACCTTAGATACACAGTGACAAATCTCTTATACATACACATTTGTAAAAGCATTAAAAACTTCAATGACAATATATATATAAACACAATCCACCAGCTAAACGGCTGACCACTATAATACAAGGAATGTCTGAACCTGATGGCTCACATCCACCATAGAACACA